TTATTCAAATTTGTGCACCAACCGCTAATACCAAAGAAGAAGAAAGTGAAGATTTTTACCGACTTCTGCAGTCTGAGATTGATCAAGCTTACAGTCTACATGCATTGATAATTACTGGTGTTTAGAATGCAAAATATCGAAGAACACAGGAAGCATCAGAGGAAGATAGAAGGAATGCATGTTCACTGACCAAAAAGACTTGGTAGATGTTCAGCCATTTCAGGAGGTAGCATGTGATCAAGGACCAGTGGTATTGAAGGAAGAAGACCAAGCTGCACTGAAGGCAGTGGTGAAAAACAAGGCTCCAGGAACTGATGGAATACCCTATAGTGCAGTTCTACCCTGTCCTGTAGAGGCGCTATGAGTTGGAATCTACTTGATAATGGTGTTTTGTTTTGATTTTAAGTATGTTCACATACTTGAATGTCCACATGTGGTGAAAGGCAAATCAATGGGAAGTGATTGAACAGACAAGAAAAGGATGATACTTCTTTTTGTGGGGGAGGCGGGGGCTGCAATGAGAGAAGGGAGGCAGTGCAACCATGAATACAAATAGCTACTTGGGCAAAGGCCCACTGTTCTCAGAAATGTGGAGGCTGGATGAAGCCATGATATGGTTCAGTCGTTGTCCATATGCAGTCTATGATTCCTCCCTGATAATGGACTTGTGTATGTCCCCACCCTCTGTCCCCCATTGTTGTCCTAGTTGAGAGCCTGTTCTCTAATTGGAACATCACAGTGACATCCCCACCTCTGTTTCCTCTTTGCCATCTGTCTATTTCAGCCCTGCCAGCTGATTCTCTAGATTGGCACTCCTCAAGCTTTAGTGAGTCAGTACTGGAGAACAAAATAAACTCCTAAGATTATACTCAGACTTCCCAGCTTTCCTTTCTCACTCCCTTGCCCCCATCCTCACCCATGCCTTGGTAAAGTGTTTTGGGTTTGAATAGCATTTACTTTACATCTTTTAAATTTTACAAGCAAACTAGTTTGACCATTTTAAAGGATTATGCCTGGTTTTCCCTCTTCCTCCCTTTGCTTACCCAAAACCCACTGCCATTGAGTTGATTGCAACTCATTAATTTGACTCATAATGAGCCTCATTGGGTTTCCCAGACTGTAAATCCTTATGGAAATAGATTGCCTCATCTTCCTCCTGGGGAGTAGCTGGTGGGTTTGAACTGCCAACCTTGGAGTTAGCAGCCGAATGCCTTACTCACTACATCACCAGAGCTCCTTTTCTTTTGCTTAGCCACTGCGCATTATAATCACCACTGAATTAACCCTTTTATGACCCATGGGACATATATTGCCCACCAATATTTTCAGCTTCTCAGGTTTTTTAGGAAGCTGTTCTCCCAGT